ATAAAAAATACGGAAAATCTTATTTTCTGTGCGTGAAATCGGAGAAAATAGCTAAAATAAGTAAAAATGCGGAAGGGTTAGCAGCTAGGGCGTAGATTGAATTTTCTGTTTATCTTTGAAAATCGTAAATAAATATAATTATTTTACTTCAATGACTGAATTTTAAAAAAAAACGGGATATTTATTTAAAAAAACGAAACTTTTAGAGAATCGGAGTTTTTGATAAAAAGGCTGAAATTCGAGAGACAAAAAAAATCTCATCCCTGTATAAAGGTCAACCAGTTTTATCCCAAAGAAATTATTTTTAGAGAAACTTCAGAGGGAGGAAAAGGGACTTCAACAATTTCCCTCCGCGGAAAATTAAATTCCTCATAAAACATTTTAACTTGTGCAAAAAATAAATTTCAGCGGAAATTAGCGGGAAAAATGGAAAAATCTGAAAAAATGCGGAAATCCGCGAATCCGCGGAAGAATCTCATCCCTGTTCTATAGAGATGTCTAAGTTGACATTCACTTCACTTATCTCTCCACTGGAAATCCACCAATGATCAACCAGTTACAGATGCAACCAGTAGGAATACGTTTCTATTGGGATAGGAATATGAATCGCCCAATAGGAACAGTGCAAATGGAAATTAATTAACACTTTCATTGCGGTAATAGCACAGCTTTTTCTACCCGCTGTGCTACGAGTTCCACTTTTAGTGCTAAAATTAAAAGTAAAAGAGACGGGATGTCTCGTCTCTAGCGCACAAGGATTTCTAGTGGAAGACGATATATCTCGTCCTTAGTGAAGAAAGTGCTAAATGATAACGTAACACTGATTTAGGTCAGCCTTTTTTAGTAAGAAATACAGAAAATTTGAAATTATCCACGGGTTCTGACTGTCCACATTGTGTAATTATAATATGATACATATGTGAATTTTTATATCATACGTCATTATAAATGCAATTACATATGTGAATTTTAAAAATCGGTAAAATTTATAAAAGCAAAAAATTTTGCGAGGATCATATAAAAATATACGGATAAAAAAAAAAAGGGAAAAACTTTAATTCATTAAAAGTAATGTCTGAATTTCATCGAATAGTTGAACAATAAAATTTTAATTCATCGTACTGATGCAATTTTTTTTGAAAATTCTATATGACTAATTTTTGATTCCCTAATTGAATTAGTGAATTTAAAATTTTAGGGAAAGTAAATATTTTAATTGAATCGAAGAGCACGTTTTTTGCTAAAGGAACACACAAACGCCTGATGTCTCCCATTTGCATAATAAATAAAAATTATTCAAACATATTAAATCAATCAACAACAAAAAAATGATCATGAAGATGATGGTTAAAATATTGAAATACATACCGTCACATTTCACACCGACTTTTCCAGTTCCCCATATATAATCTCGACCTATGAAAGGAATAAGTAAATAAATAATGAAAAACTAAAAGAAATGTAGAAAAGCACCATTAAAATTTTAATTAAAAAGTGATGAAGGAAAGTGGAATCATTTAAAAAATTTTTTTTGCTTTTTACTATATATATATAAATAATTAAGATAATTAATATATTATGAATGAATAAATAATAATATATATTATATATTATATTTTCAATTTTTAAGTTTTCATTTAAATGAGATTTTACCGATTTTTAATTCTTTATTATCTAAATATATATAACCCTTTACATATATCAGTCCAGAGAATTTTCGAACATGTATGATGCAAGAGGCTATTTATTTCAAATATCTAGTAATCTCATTATATTAAACAAATAATCCCAAGAAACAGTACGTAATGTGGCAGCAGTACGTAATGAGGAAAAGTTATTTAATTTATTTATTTATTATTATTTTTAAAAAAAATCTTTTCTCATAACAGAGATGGACAAAATTTTAATACTTCTCTTGCCTACTATGTCGAATTGTCCCGAACTCATACTTATGGTGGTTTGTGTGATTTGATGGCAACCGGGCAGATATTTAATTATTACTTAAAATTTAGTACATAAAGAACTTTGACGATATCGCGGACATCTCTAGAAAATAGTTAAAATTGAAATCAAATAGTTGAGAACTTCCGTTCAGGTCAAACCACTGGTATCAGCTAGACCAGGGATTACCAACTGGTGGCCCCCGGGCCGCATCCGGCCCGCGAAGCCTTTTTTTGTGGCCCGCGAACTAAAATATATTAAATGTAAATTTTTTCGGACTATTTCCGTAAAAAATCTATATGGGTTTAAAATACTTTTCTTTCGGTAAAAAAAAAAAAAAAAAAAAAAAAAAAAANAAAAAAACATGATTTCTTCATTTCTGTAAAATTTAACATACCAACGCCGCAAAAAAATTTATTTCTCAGGTTTTGTATCCAAAAAATATTTATTTAAATACAAAAATAATCGTATATGTTGCTTAAAAATCTACTTCTAATTTAAATTTGTAATTCAATACGTTTGTTTTGTACAACTTGATAAAAATCTGACAGTAATATTTAATGTTCCTTCAAACATAAAAGAGTCCTGGATAAAATTTTGATAAAGTTGCGGCTCGTCATTTGACTGATGTTCTTAAATGCGGCCACCGGCCTCATGTAAGTTGGAAACCCCTGAGCTAGACGGTGAAATAATTTGGTTATATGTTGTTTAAAACTAATTAAAGTGTTAAGCAAAAATTAAAATATTTAAATACAGTTGTGCTATGCATTTAGTTGTTCTGTGCACACAGTTGTGTTACCATAAAACTTATTTGTTGAACAAGATAATTTTGAAAGGTGGTCAAGCTGATCACCAAAGGAAACTAGTTATAAGAGAAACCTTGATTTCCAAGAACTGATTCAATAATATTTATAAGGCATCTGCATCAAGAAATAAAAAAAATGTACATTATTTAATAAAAATCTCATGTGAGATATTGACTTTCATTCATTGCGTTATTTATTCATTTATTTTGAAATTCATGTCATATGTTCTTTGATTAGAAATGAGAATTTATCGTAATCATGAATTTATAATGAAAGAAGAAACACATATACAAGGTGGTCTGTAAAGATCGTCCTCAATCTATATTAAAATCCATTTCAAATATAAAATTTAAAAAAAAAATTGCATATTAGGGATCTCAAAATAATATATTAGAACAAAAAAATGAAAATCTGACGAATTACTAGTAAAGAAAGGGGAACGAAATATGTAAAAACCAGTTCCATTACATGATGAAATTCGGAAGTGTTTATATCAACGAGCATTTAACCATTACCCGTTTTCTCCAACAATTAACGGATGTTGATACGTTTTAAATCCTGCTTTCCTCGGTAATGTTAGGTTTCAATAACGCTTCCGTTTTATTTTTTTAAATAAGAATTATTAACGACCCCTAATGTGCCTTGTTTTGGACAAAGATTTAAAATAAAACAACATTATAATTAAGTACATATAAAAAATCTTAAACAATTATCTGAACATCAAGATAAATTCCCACGAGGAAAAAGTTGGGAAAGTATTGCCATAGATAACAGTAATTTTAAATAGTGTATTTTTTCGTTCTCATAATTATTTAAGTAATAAGATATTTCTTTTAGGAGTAAAGACAGCGGCCTTTTAATAAACAAGTAAAACTTAATATGTATATGTAATACAATAAAACAAAGAAGCAAAAGTGACACAAATAAATACTACGTTTATAAGAAATGATGGACCGTTACATCAATATGTTAAATTTTAAACACTCATTAGTTTCGCAATTTTATCTATTTTAAACTGAACAATGAAGAATGGTACAGCCATCCATCTTCCAAATGCAACAATGTTCCAGCAATTCCATAAGTTGCGTAAGAAACCTTTACGCAAACTCAACAAATGTGCCGGGACTAAAATTTTACACACGCGCTGAGGTTAAATGACTCGTCTGTGAGGTCATATGGAACCTTTCAGACAAGGAGTCGTTTTTCTGGAATTCTCCAGAAAAGAATCCAACTCCATCTTGGATCGTCCCCAGCAGATCAAGAGAGTATTGTGAGAATAGAAGGTAGGAGGGGAAGAGATAAGCTTATTTATATTTTGGGATCTTGCAGATGAGGTAAATGTACCCCTCTCTTATCATTCCTGGAATCATTAATTACCGGAGTGTGAGATCAGCTTAGTTTCTGGCAAAGTCATTTGGTTTCAATTTTGCTTTCGGAAGATTGAATTTTTTTTTTGATTTGATAGATTGATAAGTACTATACAGAGGGAAAATTCATTTGAACAACAGAAGTCTTAAGTACACTGGCGCACAAAATGTTGTACTATCAGGGGTCTGTCCAAGCCGAATTTACTGCCGTTTAGCGGTACCTTCACAAAATACTTCTTAAAATCTTATTTTTGTGTCTCGTAAGAAACAATAAATCCATATTTTTGTGTTGATTTTTTGAAATTGTTAATTTGTGAAAATTAAAAATAAGATAATTTTTAATTTTCGGAAATTATGTCTAAATTTTCACAAAATAGGTACCTCTCAGAAAAACCTAGACAGACCCCTGACTAAGTAACAAATGTACAAAATGTAGCGTACAAGCGGAACAGTCAAAAGTTAAGATATATTGCTTAGAAAGGAAAAATTGAAAATAACACAATGAAGTGAAAAATTAAGAAAATCAAAGCCACAAAATTAAGACAGATAAAACAAATTGGGAGAATAAAAGTAGTAACAATAACTATATTAGACGATGTTATAAAATCTTTTTTTTCTTCTTCATTCTTCTAAAATATTCTTATGAAGGGATTTAAGAACTTAGACTTTTAAAACTGAGATGTTAGAAATGTATCTGGAGAATAAATAAATTAATAAAATCAAGTATTATTAAATACAAGCAAATAAGAAAACCACAATTGAAAATTACAAATTAAATTAACAAATGTATGTAGGAACCCTTGTTAAAATGGACAAAATGTCAAGAAAAACCGAAGAAAAAAAAATATTATGGAAATTCAATCAGCATTTTCATAGAAAAGCTGCACCAAATAAGTTGACCTATTTACATGTAATGGATTATCTCACTTCCCTTAAAATGGTTTTACTAAGTTAGAACTTTTACAAAGACTAATACAGATTTTGTAACAAGAAGCGAAAACAGTCTAACTTTAACCGCCCTTACCAGGTGATTATATTTAACCTCACTATTTCAGAATTTAGAAACCATAAACCCGAAATTATGGATCATCTTACTTTCTACAATGTGGATTAAAATATACTAGTGGGCTGAGCCCCCTGCTCGCTGACGCTCGCCAACCCACGAAAATTGCTACACAATCTTATATGGTTTGCTTCGCAACCAAGGTTTGATTGCTACACAATCTTATATGGTTTGCTTCGCTCGCTACTATCTTAGGTACATTGCAATTACACAAAATTCTAAGAATTCAAAACAGTCATTCAAAACCATATAACAACTTTTTCTTTAAAAAAAAATTACATCTTTTTAGTAAATACTACGTCATTAAAATAAATTTGAATTCAAATAAATGACATGTAATACTTTAAACCTATTAGAAATGTGTTATAGTATAAAATCTTAAAGCGTAACAGCACGACTGAGACTCATTTTTCAATGAATAGCTAATAACAATAATAAAACAAATAAATTCGTGATATAAATCAAGAATCGTCAAATAAATTCGTAATATATAAATTCGTGAAAAAAAGCGCTTTCGA